CAACGATTTTTGGCTAAAGCATCACAGCTTAAACCAAAGCGAGAAGTGTTTTGGCAGCCTGACTACTTTGATGAATCAACCAGACAGCACCAGAGAAAGCACGCACGCCCTGGAATCATTATTTGAACACAGGTTTGCATAAGCACACAGTCTTGACCTCTTTTTGTGCTTTTTAAAAAATCAGTATAATACTTTGAGTAGAATATGATCTAACAGTGTTGATAAAGACATGTGTACATAAGAACAGGTTTTAAAAAAAAAAAGGCAACCCGAACCATCTTTTACCTTTAACTTGTTACTCTATGATTACCACTTGAGTACAAATGCAAGCATTGCTTTATTTTAAGGTGCATTCAGCACAGCATTAGGTACACATACGTTCATACTTCATCACACTGCTCAATCACTAAACAATTTTATTGTTTACTGCTGCCATGTAGATAATAAATTTTAAATTTTTTGTAAGATGTAGTTTGATCTGTATTGGAAGTGAAAATTAGTTAGTCTTTCAAAAAAAAAAAAAAAAAAAAAAGCAGAAATGCATGAACTAGAGGACAGGCAACATTGAGAAGGTCTTCCAGTGTATCTGTAACTAGGAAGCATGGAAAGCTTAAAGAAAGGTTAAAAAAAAAAATTTAGTCTATTCTTGCTGCTATGCTGTGACAACTGCTTTTTTAGTCTCAGACTCCTGGAAGTGAATTATCTCTCAGAATGCTGACAAAAATGGAAAACAAATTGAAATATTGCTGTAGATAAGAATGGGTACAGATGTGTGTATTATGTTTATTGGTCCCTTTCTTAACACGAAACATGCATGCTCACATCCCTTTTTGGACTTTTATTAGTTGTGTACTCAAAATGAAAGTAGCTGTGTTCCAGCTAGGGTAAATGCTCTGCAACAGCTGGACTGGATTACTTTATGCTTTGAAGATCTCTGGAATTTATGACAGTTTTATGACACTGCACATATTTTAGAGGAGCCAGGAGGATTCTCTTCTTTCTAGAAAATGCAGCACTTGGCGCTGTACTCTGAATCAGTATGCCAGATCCCGAGAGAAGCTAACACATGATCAAATTTCAAGTATTTTGTGCCTGTTCATTTGAAAACTAAAGGTGATTTGCTCCTCCTTTAGCTAACTGCTTAAAAAAACCCACCCTTATCTTAAGAGAGCAGCTCTCCTCTTTCATGGCTTAGGGATCTGTTCAGCCCTGAATATAATTAAACTCAGTAACTTAGCGAGTGCAACACTGTCTTGACTGACCAGGCTGTAGATGAAAGTTAATACAGAACCTGCCTGCTATTAATTCTGCAATGACCTTCTGCAGATCCCCATTCTCCAAACCTAAGCTTCAAGGAGAAATTCTGCTTGCAAACAACTTGCAGACAGCACGTATATCAAAAGCAACAATATAGTAAGAGAAAAAGTCATACAGTTTTTTACATCAGAAAGAATTTCTCTTATCTCCATTGGCTATTTGAACCCTATTTTTTTTATTGAGGTACTCTTTAAAAAACTATCAGATTTGGAACACAGATATTGTTTAACAACTACATTTCAAGAAATCTATTCATTTATTCCCGTCCAAATTTGCTTGAATAAATCAAGAAAACTGCACAATGAAGTAATGTATTATAGTTTTTTAGCAGGGTTAGTTATTAGCTGTTTATCATAATGCATTCACAAAAGAGAAAGTCTCAAGATACCTTTAAAAACTCTGCTATGTGGAACTATATATTTGTCAGAGGTGAAAAGCACAGTTTGGTGTACATGTCTATGAATGTGTGTGAAGGGCTTTAAATAAAATCCTTCCACTGTAATGGGCTGAAATTAGAGCTTCACCACACTAGCATCTTTGAATTATTTAGCATTCACAAAATTTCAAGTTTCTAAACCAGAGATACTTAAAACTTCCAATCATAAGCTTGAAAGTAATTTCACAGGGGGGACAGGAGAGCAGAAGTTGTTGTTCTTCCATTTCACTTCAGCAGACAAAAAAAATACTAGTTGTACCAAGCAATTAAGTAGTGCTGTATTCTCCACAAGTATCTTGTGTGAATAAAGGAAACCTCCTCTCTGTGAAATAGTACAGGCCTTGATGTGGTTTTGTGGGATTTTTTTCGTCTTTAGTATTTTCAACACATGAAATAAAAAGCATCTCAAGAACTACAGCTGGACTACAAAGAGAATAATGTTCAGTTGTATGCTGCTGCTCATTAATAAGGGTAAGCCAACTACATCGTACCTTGGTTTTAACATTTTAAGCCACTGGCAGCTCACCTATAACTCTGCACACTTTAAACAAAATTCTTGAAATTAAAATTTGTATCTGGCTATTTGTGTGATTACTATTTATAAGTCCATGTATAAACCAGAAATCCAACTATTCTCCAATATTCAGTGCAAATCATAATCCCAGAAATGAATGGTAAAAGCAATGCCAGGAGCAAACATGGCTCTGTTAGAAATGGGGCTGTAACTCAGTGTGCATGGTTCCATCTTCTCTACGAAACACCACCAGCTGAATAATTTTCTACAAATATTTTACATACACGTATGCATAAAAAAACCCTAAAGCTGTGAGACATCACCTCCAGGTGAGAGGAAGAAAACAAGATCAAAAAGGTCATTGTTGTCGGCAAATTGATGAAGAAGCAAAACACATCCTTCCATGTTGGCAAAGACTTACTTGAAAAATACTGGCTTACAGGGCTGAATTTTACTTAAATATTGGTAGTTTAATTAGATTTGAGGTAGAAACAAATTGATATAGTGTGAATAGGACAAAACTAACAAAAGACTTATCCCGAAGCCTTCTAAGACTTACTTTTTTTTTTTTTTCCTTGGGGTAAACTCTTGCAGGTCATTTTAGACCTTGTTACAGGCTCAGTCTGCAAGTATTTTTCCTTTAACCTGTTACATTTGTAACTAAATAAACAATAGCTAACTGACTTAAATTGGTAACAGGATAGAAATTGGTGACCAGATAGAAAGCGGACGTACTGCTACTGCTACAGAGGAAAAGGCTGGGACATGCAGGACTCCTCTGCTCTGTGTGGCTCACGCAGCAGCTCAGAGCCAGCAGACGGCTGGTCAGTCAGCGTGCAGGTAGCTCTACAAAAGGCGTGCTGGCTCTTGCCCAGGTGCTAAGCCAAACAAAAGCAAACAATGGTACAGAAGAAAAGCAGAAGTTATAATGATGGGAAATGGTGGGGATAAAAGGAATTGTGGCAGAGTGTAACATACTAGGAGGAGCTGGAGGTCAGAAAAGGTATCCTGTCAATATCTGGGCGACAGGGAAGGAGCAAGAGGGCTAGAGTACCTTAAGTAGGATTGAATGAGGAAAGGAGACATTCGTTATTCTGATGCTTGTTTGCTGCCTCTCCATTTTGAATCCATGTAGTTTCAAAATAAAATTAAAACCAAGCAAATCTTCAGTTTAAAAAAAAAAATCCTTATCTGCTATTGATAATGTTGTTGAGATGCCAGAAAGCTGGATAAGCACTATTTACAATTAATACAATGCCAGATACACTTAAAACATTAAAACACCACTAACGCGGTGTTCAACCAGAATTGAATTTCAGGGGATGCTGAAAATAATCAAATTCTGTACAGCAAAGAAATGAGAAATGAGAAATGAGTGTGCCTAAAACAAAAGACATCCTTCTCCAAAACCTTACAATATATCCTCCTGATATTATCCTACTCTTTCAAACGAAGGCATGCATCAGTTCTACAGACGCTATATGCTATGGTTTCTCAGTAGCAACACAGGCGGAGAACCGTATTACAGTTGTTGAAGCAAGTTCAGCAAGTCTCAAAACCTATTCTTCTACAGTCTTTATAAAACTCAAGTAATTACAAGCAGCATTCTATATAAACAGAAGCATGCTCTTGCATGGGCACACTACTACAGAATGAAAAGTTTGGAATCATTTCCATTACTTTTCCTAACCAGGTAAGGAAGATGTCCAGTCTTTCATTTCAAGACAATATGGGAAAATATTTTTGCATTCAGTTTTAGAGGATTTATAAAGAAATATAACATCCTGCCTTTTTCAAAATGTGGGGAAGGAGAAAGGCCCTTTCCTCAAACAAGCTTATCCCCAGAAATAGCACAGTTTAGCACTAGACGTGCCACAGGAAGAGGGGGAAGGGCTTATATCACAAGCCTGTCCATTGTACTGAAAGACGACTTTTCCTATGGATGGGCGACCATCCTGTTATGCGGCTCTCAACTTCCTCCTGCATTGTGAGTCTCAAGTCATGGAAAGAGTAAAGTTCTTAAACTGAGGATTGTGTTGAGAACTCCACACACTTTCAGTACAAGTTAACCAAACAAATACATCATGGTCAGACTATTAACATCCTGGTTTAGCTTGCTGAAGCCACTATTCTTTTGAAAAAATAATGTAATCAAGAGAACTCTGGATAGTTATCTTGTTAGTTCTTTTGGCTTCTGATAACATTTGGACTAACTGAAAGAAAAAGTCTGGAACTGCAATAGAAAGCCAAGTTCAAAATGCAAGACAATGCAATCTTCACAAAACAAACTGTCCCTCAATAGAGACTAAATGGGATCACATTGAAAGATCCAAATAAAACTACACTCATTACCTATTAAAAAAAAATATATCTGAAATTCAAGAAATGGTACTCTAAATGCATTTGGGAAACATTAATTTAAACCTTAAGTTGCTGAAGTTTCAGTTACAGTTTCAACAGTGCAATCTGTGAAAGGCTATTTTAAAGTGTCTCAACAGGAGGTCAGCTGCCCCCTTAAGAAAAATCTATTATCAACACGGAGCAAAGTGACTAAAGAGCTATTAATGTTAGTTAGGTTAGGACTTGTAGCATGTGTTCCAAGAAGAGAGTACAGTACATACCAGTGCCATTGCAATCTATGCAGTCAACTGTGGAGCAGCCTGGTTTATGCCATTGGCAGATTCTGATGTGTTGCAGCTAGAAGTATGCTACACTAAACAGCTCTACAGTTACCTGATAGCCTTCTGTTTTTTTCTGGCACCACTTCAGCAAGGCATTTCTCTTGGATCCTCCATATTCTCTTGCTAGGGCAGACAAGGGATCTTTCCTCTCTTCCCTAGGAACAAGGCAGAAGTGCAAATTGGAGCTTGTAACGTATCTTTTGCAACAGAAATACATATTGTAAAAGCTTAAAAAAGGGGCAAATTATTGTCACAGTGAAAGTAGTAGGGTACAGCACTACTGACTGAAAAACAGAATACACAGAAATACCTGCAGAGACTTAAGAGTTATTTTGAAGTAATACTTTAATTTGCAAGTCATCCTTCTTTTTCCTTTAAACTTTTTTTTCCTACATCTTTCAACCTTGGTATTTTTTCTAAGAGTTCATAAAATTAAACTCAAAACACAGTAAAGTTGCTCAAACCATTAACCTAACTCAAGTGACTTTGTTTTGTATTAGAAAGAATAAACTGATGCTATCTCTTTTGCATCTCATGGCTGATTGCGAATGTCACCTTGAAACAAGAAGTTTGCATATTAGCAGCACGCTGTTATTAACAGAACATGTGCCTGAGAGTTCTTAAAAGGGGGAGATCTAACTAGGTTGATCTGCCATTTGATATAGTGGCATAATGATTCACTTTTTTCAAATAAGAATGTTCAATTACCCATAAAAGCTATTAATTAATTTCACTTCCAGTCTGTCAAGCTAAGTTAAGTCATTTTTTCTTTAAGTAAAGATTGGGGGAAAAAAAGAATGAACATATCTGGGTTGGCCAGTTTTTCATGAGTCTTACATTACAAGCATCTCTTTGCCAGACTTCAGAAACGATTGCTTTGATTAAAAAAATATATATTACAGAGGTTAATACTTTTGTAACGGCCTAGTTACATGATTTAATATTTAAATAGATACTGTAGTGAACAGTCTCTGACAGAAAGACTAAGTATTACACCATTACGGAGCTTAGTTACTGGATGTAAAGTGTGCCAGCAGTTGTTCTTATTTTTAATAATTTCCATTTGGAAAATTAAAATAAGATTGCTATCAGTGAATCCACACTGCAAAGATTTCTTTGTTTCCTCATCTGCCATTTTTTAAAGAGTTCTATGCAGATGCAAGCAAGATTTTCACAACATCCACAAAGACGATACCCTAAATTACTCCTTTCGGATATTTCCAAAAAGACATACAGACTGTACACATTCACTCTCAGATCTTCAACTCTGTTCTTTACAACCCATTTGGTGACTGGAAAGAGGTGTGGAATGTGGAAATACATAGTATTTTCAGTGGATTCTCTGCTGCAGATTTACAGGTAGCAATTCTCAGGGTCCTGCTAGGGGAAAAGAAAGCATCCAGGGAACATGGCTTTCTTTATGCATACATGCTACCAACAGAACGCCAGAGACTGTTCCACTTATCAGCATCTGTCACTCAATGCATAAAAGAAGTGAGCATGTGCCAACATACAATGAAATGTTCTAAGGCACAAATCTTAAGTACACGTATTGCAATTTGCTTGGCCAGTCTTCACTGAAATATACATGGCAAGATCTCAAAGTTGCTTAGAAAGAGATAACATTTAAAACATCCATGAAAATATATGTACAGCAGAACAACAAACAGGAAACAGCAAGTGCCTTTCAGCGTGAAAGATAGCAGTAACAGCCTTCCAACCTAACTGCTAATCTCAGAGAGATTTAACACAAGGAAGTTGCTAATTGTGTACTTAAAATACGAAATAAATTAACTGAATAGGTTACTGTATGTAAACTTCATAAGCAGTACACAGCCAGAATGATGCCTGAAGAAATTCTGTACTTCAATCCTTAAATTAGTACCTATTTCAACAATCTGAACGGGTGTATTTCTTTCAGTGGTAACTGAAACAAACAACAACGGGACTGCATATTCAATCTACAACAAAGATTATGCAACACTACAAGAACTTTAGAAAAGAGATTTGGGACAACATACAAGAACTCAAAAGCTCTCTCTCTTTACACTAAACATACTGCTTCAGCATGAGGGAGCTGCACAGCCTGTTCTCAAATGCCAGTAAGAGCACATGGTTTCTATCAGGTTCTCACAGTTATGAAAACACTGCTGAAAAAATAAATTTGCATAAGTTGTATGAAGATAATGAGAAATGGTTTGACAAATAAATCTTACAAGTTAGTATATTAGGTCAACTGTATTCCAAATTAAAGAGTCAATGAAGTTTCACCTAGAATATGGAATAGTAAACTGCAAGTATTTGTTTTAGTGAACTGTAGGAATAACTGTTTATTTTACCACAACTTTCAGAAAAACATAGGGGGAAAAAGAGAGAAACCTGATCACATAAACTGAAGTCCAGCAGTGATATTCTGAGGACAGTTCCAAAGAGGGTGCTCATCACCACACACCCACGGCTGCAGATTCCACTGTGAAGTCTTCTTGTAGTGCTTAGTATTGCAGTCAATGGTTGGGCAGCATAGTAATGATATCATAATTATAACTGTACAATTTTACCATGAAATGCCACGCTATTTGTTACAGTCTGCAGGCTGCCATCAGTGCAGTTTTGACATTACCAGTTCAAAGTCCACATACAGGTGTTTTAGTTGTTGTTTTTTTTGTGGGTTTTTTTTTTTTTTTTTTTCTTTTATTTCTGGATGTACTCGGTCTAAATTTAGGTGCTAACACACACAATATTAATTACTGCTGGTAAAGTACCCACAGATCAAAACTCAATTTAATTTCTGCATAGTGAAAGGAGAGCAGCACTGAGGCATGCCTCAGCTGATTTCAGGGAAATAATTTTCCACAGCACTCACAGCTGCAAATAAATTCACAATTTTATAATGCAATTATCACATATTGCAAATGTCTTTGAACATTAAGGGTTTAACATTTCTGCTGTACAAAAGCTTTGTCAGGAAGCTCTGTGTTAAATGGTCTTGAGAAAGTCATGTAATCTTTGCCTGTCAGTTTCCCAACCTATGAAGCAGGGCTAAGTATACACTCCACTTGCATAACATAAGGCTTAAATACTTTGAAGGCCTTTGACTGATAACACTACAGATAGGAAAAGGTTTAAATTTATCACAGACTTATCTTTTTATCTTACTAATGAAAGGGGGTTGCCTGGTCATTTGTTACTTAGACTTGCATTATGATTTCATCTGTGGGACAAATAACCCAGGCCCATTCGCTCATGGCTATTTAGAAGACTTGGCAGTGTCTTGAGTTAAGACCTAGTCATGCCGCTTTTTGTCTTCGGTTGCGATTACAAAAGCAAAGGTTTATCATGCAGTCTCCCTGGGTCCATTCCACTCAAAGATTTGCTCAACATGCCGCAAGCTCATTTCTTGAATTTGGCTTCATGGTATTTTGAACTGATATGATGCTATTATTTAGTGACGTGACAGCTTGGCTTTCTAGTGGAGCACAAAGTTTTGGTATTAACTTCATAAGCTCTAAAATGCCTAACTTCTCATCTAACTTTTAAAACATACACTGAGCTGTAAAAAACACTTTCTGAAGCTCTCATAGATTTCTGAAGATCGTTACTGTATGGGTGGCAGCAGAGTCTGCAGTCCTAGTGCCAATATTGTGTACTAGATATATGCAGACAGATATCTACGAAACAAACACATTTCACTGTACCACAAAAAACGGTTTTTACCTTATTCGACTTCTGGTTGTAGGGGTGACTGATGCCGTAGGAGAAGATGAGAGTGACAGCTGTGGTGAGGTGGTACCCATTGCCATGAGAGATGCTGGCGATGCTCCATCAGGTGCACTGATATCCCGCTTGATTTCTTCACTACTTCTTCGAGAGACTAAGTGGGAAAATGCCCCCATATTTATAATTTGCAAGCATGAAACCTCTCAAACTCATTCTTACTCTCTGACAAACATTAGTTCAGAAACCATGCATGGAAACCCATATACAATACTACGCTTCAGCGTTTTTCTTGATACTTTCCACTTAGGAAGTATCAGGGATTTAGACTGCACTACCAACATTTATGATCAAGCCTGTATCTTGAAGCAAAGAAAATGTGATGAATATATCTTAATGGAATATCGCTACTTCCATTTGAAGGATTTTATGATGAGAAGGAATTTTAACATCAAACCATTTAATTTTTCTCTGGTGCATGTAGTTATGTTGCTAAGCTTCAAGTAGTTAAGAAAAAAGAAAACCAAAATAGTTTAAAGATGACAGCTGCTTTATTTCCACTTAATTTTAATCCAGAATTGGGATGTATGTGATGGTCTGGACATTAATTAAATGTTATCAGCAAGCAAACCAAAGATTGACCTGAGACCATCCAGCCACATTCCACAGAGATTGCTTCATTTTATCAAAGGACAAACAATTTTTCTTTCAAATGAAAGGACAAGCGTTATACCCTGTAAACACAAAATTGGAATCGTTATGTTTTTTCTATGTGGAAGACTTGTCAGCTAGAAGTATGAAGTTTGCCTTTTATACTTAAATATTCATGATTGTTTATGTTTGCACAAATCAAAGATATAACTCTCCACATATATCAGAGACTTATTTCCTAGTGACGTGGGGCAAGTACATTAATTTCTCAATGCTAGAGACAAGAAGTTGGGAAAAAAACACTTTTGGGTGGATATTTTTTGGGGACAAATCAAAATGATCCAAAACACATTTTCTTGTTGAAACCATTTACTCAAGTATAGGTGTTCTTAAAAAATATTTCTCTCAAATTAGTTCTGCCTAGTTTATAGAAAGTATCATTTTCACTGTCTCACATGATTTGTTTTTAGAAGCCCCTGCTGATACTGACATGTCAGCTTGATAGTAAACTAACACTCTACATAAACTTCTATTTAGCAACCCTATTTTTTAAAAATCCAAAGTTAACATAAAATGTTCAGCAACCACTACGAGTAATACTGAAAAATATTTGTAGGTTATGCCAATCACAAAAGGGACTACTTAAAAGTGATTCATTGCAAATATTGTTTTGTCCTACAGAATGGGAAGTAGGTTTGCTAGGTAATATGTGAAAACATTTACACGCAGCAGGTAGTGTATAATGATGCATATGTTATCTAAAAAGAACAACCCTTCTATTTTAAATCATTGAAAATCATTCTTTCCACAAACAATAATGGAATTGCTTAATTAGAGACGAATAATATGCTTTACTGATTCACTCAAAAAAAAAAAAAAAAAAATCCTACATCCAAGCAGTAAAGGGCACCAGCCAGGAGCAGTTTCTTTCCTCACACATACCTTGTACACCAAAATTATTTGTAATGGAGGGAAAGATGACATAGAAGTCAACTGTTACAAGCATTATTCATACTCATTCATCTGGTATGTTGATCCAAGTGATACATGCAACAATAAGGAGACAACCAATTAAAAAATCTCTTCAGTTCCACTTGATGCCATAAAATGGAATATTATTTTAGCATTGGACTTCAGTATCTTTCCTCAAATATTTCAACAGAAAACTTGAACACTGAAAAATAAACTGTTCCAAATATCGAAATAAGAGTTTTTTTGACAGGAGCTTGAGGGTCCAAAGACCAAAATTTCCTCTTGAAAAAGTAAAGCACATCTCTAAGTACAGTGTTGAAATGAGAGTTCCTGATTTTATAAATAATCGAAAAAATGTGATATTACCAGAAATAGATTTGGCACTTTCCATAGCGGGTACTCTTGGCAAAGATGCTGGCCTGCTGGTAGAAGATGTTCTCAACAAATGTTCTGGATAAAGAAAAAGAAGAGAGAACATCATTAACAAAGATTCCAGTTAAAATGTAAGACATTTGAGTCATGAATATTGTCTACCAGTGCCTGAGCTTGGCTGTTGTAGTGAGAGCAACTGATTTTATCTGTACAAAAGAGGAGGTCTAAGTTTGCTCATTACCAATAAAGATGACTATGAATACATCATGACCTTCTTAATCCTTTCTCCCCAAGGCTTCTTGCTAATCCACTTGCCCTGGTCTATAAAAAAATGAATTGCTAAACCCAAAGGCTGAGCAAGGAATCCCCATTTAGCACATGGCCAAAAATATTCAACATGCCGTTCACAATGTGGATTGGTAAAGCAGATTAGTTTGTCCCTCATGATTTTTTTTTTCCCTTTGGTTTGCTTGGGGTTTTTTTATTTTTTTAAATAAAAACATGCCTTTTTTTTTTTCCCCACTCTCCCATGCAGTGGATCCAAAAAGGTGCCTTTACATACTGTTAAAGATTAGTTTTGCCTACTTCCAATGAGTAAAATCAAACCACAACAAAACTCATTTTCTGTAGCACCAAATCATAACTATTTCCTATTATTGAAGAAATATTCCTTCAAATAAAACCTTTGGACTGTAAACAAAAGGTTTACGTTCTCTGATGTACAAACACTCAGAAGGCAGTAATTTGAATACAAAAAAACCCATGAAAATGAAGAATGAGGATTAAAAAAAATAAGACCCATTCATTAATTGAAAATGTGACATAAGAAACATACATTGCTACAAATATACTTTAAAAATATATATGGTTGTAAACAGGAATTCTGTCTGGCACATTCTGTGTTAGAAGGCAGTCCTGTTCCTGTATTAACTATTAACAAAAACACTATAAAAAAATTACAGAAAAACTACATAAAGCATACAACTGATTTTTGTTTAAGCTTATGTCTACCCATAACTCTGTAACAATGAAAGAATCCTAAACTATCTTCTTGGAAAGACATTTCAATATTCCTAAAAATACCAGTTTCTAAAATTAAAACTCCAGCTGGATTATACAAATAACCTCAATATGCATTCAACAAAAGCAAGAAGGAAATCTGGCACATACAGACTATTATGAAGTGCTACAAAACCCCCCCCTCCCCACCCCTTTAGAAAGCATCAGACCTCAGGAATACCAAATAGAGAGGAAATATTTAGCCTGGAGTCATATGGGGATTATCTTGAGAAACATCTACACAACAAAACCCCTAAAGCAGGCATAAATCAGAGAGCTACACCCAACACATGATAGCCATTCATTCTCACAGGAAGAGCACATTGTGAGCAGTGTTTTGAGAGACAAAACAAAGTTCAGAGAATAGGGAAATATTGGGAAACAGATAAATCAACACTCAATTTAATTCCATCCAATTTTTTCATTTGGCTCCTGAAGATTCAACATTTCGTATGTTTATATTTTGTTATTCACATGCAATGCAATGCCAACTATCATCCTTGTTTCATTTGGAGGAGAAAAAACCCAAAACCCAACCACGCAACACATAATGCAACCCCCGAGGTATGCATTTTTAATATCTTGAAGACAGTCACAAGACATGTCCCTGAAATCATCTTGTCTTGATTTTGCAAGTGATCTCAGTTCATGCACACATTAAAAACTGTCAGAATAATGCCAAGATATCAGGATGCAATCATGCTTTTGTCGAAAATTAAAAAAAAGTATCTTTATGATATGCCACCATGTGTGATGAAACACAAGTAATAAAACCTTGAACTCAAAATATTCTATGATTCTATGAAAATATGACGCTAATAAGAAGTGTATAATATGATAATACTTTGGATACTAAACAATATAAAATACCCAAAAAAGTATTAATAGCATTTCTAAAAACAAAGTTTAAATGAACTTGAATCAATACCCTGAACAGGGATTTCAGCATAGCTTGGTCTTTTGTCTGTCAGCGTAGCAAGGGGTTTCGAAGCTGAGATTGGTCCACTTATAGAATGCCTCTGAAATAGAAAAATACTTGTGTCAACATCATCTGAAGGTAAAAAACAAATATGGAAGTTCAGAATCTGTTTCAGAAACTCAGATATGACATTATTATTGATTTACAATACCTAAAAAAATAAAAGAACTTTTAAAAATACTCATTGAAAAAGGACATGTCCTCTTACGTGTTGCTTTTGTCAATCTGAATGACACTATGCATTGATACTGTACCATCTACTTCTTTAAACTTAAACCTGCTCCTCAAACCAATGTGGCAAATTAAGGCTGTGAATTCTCTTGCAGTTTTTGGATTAATTTTTGCCTTTATTTATATTTTATTTGAACAAGCCTGTTCTGGTTAAACTTGATGTGCTTACTTAAACTAACACAACCTAATATGTAGCCAAGATTTGCTTGATTTGTGTTATTAACATATGCCTTTATAGCTTTGTGGCTTTTCCTGGAATATTAGGATAAAAGTGTATTTGGTGTAGTGACATGAACTACCCTTTGCTAAGAAAAACCCTACTGAAAAAAAAATTATTATTCACAATGTCAAAAGCTTTTGTTACCACCTATTTAACTGAGATGCTCTGTGAACATCTGAAGAGAGATATTTTGTTAAGTATTTGTCAAAGATGTAATGAAATACAAATATAATTATTTATTCTTTCTAAGGCCACTTTAATTTCTGTTCTGCTCTAAACTAGCTATGAAATGATTTTTTTCAAGTTTTATGTAAAATATCTGGCAGTTCACAGCTTCTAGCAGCTTGATGTTTAAGTACATGATCACAGATGCGTTAAGTCTTGCACTCAATAACTAACCACAGGGTAGCACTAAAATAAGCATTTTAGTATCACCCAAATGAACCGTATAATGCAATAATTACCCTTACACTTACTGAAACTCATATTCAGTTGCTGAAGACTCAGGGAAGGACCAAAGACATTTTTTTTTTTTTTTTACTTAATCATTTCAAAGAGTCTATTGCAAATTATAGTAGTTTCTTTATTCACCCTGTCCTTTCTATTAGATTCCTATATTTAATCACAATCAGTCCAGTAATGTGTTTATCCTGAAAACTCTTTCAGCTCTCCATCTGGCCCAAGATTAGATGAGAAGGTTAAATAAGCCTTATCTTCATAAGATAATAAAGGTCAGATGTTTCTCATGCCAAATCATGTAGCAAGACAGACAAATCCAAAACTGTGATTAAAAAAAGTTAACAGTATATACTTTGCAGCATCCTGTAGCACAGGCAGGATTACAGGGCTACTTTCTCGTCATTCAGAGTTAAACTAAAATTAAGGCTTTTGTCCTAGAAATCAAATGGAGAAGACAACTGCCAACCAGCTAAGAATCCCCCTCCAAATATACAGCATGAAAAATTGCATCACTTTATATATCAAAAATCCTGCATGTACACTACAAAGATTATTCCTTTAAATGAGAGGATGAAAGTGACTGCAACTGTAGGGCAGCACAGAAGTGCCTACAACAGCTTCCCATAAGAACTGGTATTTCAAACTTGCATTAACTTTAAAGTTCACTTCACCCACCTAGGAATTTTTTTTTTTTTTTTTTAAATAAAATGCAAGGACTCTATCAAAGCGAGAGCCTCCCCTCAGAAAAGGAAACCACTATAATAGTTAGATAAGCAGCTTAAAAGAAAAATATTTCCTTTTGTCATTTTGTCTAGCTTTGGTATCGTCATTACAAAGAGAGCGTAGTACAGACCTTCAGCCAGGAACCAAGGTACACACAGGGTAGGCACAGTGCTGGATAACCATACACCTTTATCGCTTTTTCAGCTTCCGGATATCACTTAAAAATGAACATCCTGTACGGATATTGTTAGAAAGTGGCCGTATTACTCAAACGATAACTTGTTGTGTACCGGTCTTGTCTCCTTGTTATAAAACAAACTCTGTGTCTTTTTGCTCCTTTTGACCCTGCAGACAGGGGTTACCTTCACTGTTGCTAGATCCTTATTACATGTCTTACTATTACAACTACCAGGAGTAACACAGTGATGAATATACAGGAAATTAGAGGAAAAATGAACCAACTAATGCTTACCTAGTTCCACTTGGCAATATCTGTATAGTACTACTGCACTTGCAGAATAATTTTTCCTGAAACATTTTACAATGGTTAGGAACTTTTCTGCTTGACTGAGCTTTTGCTGAATTTGCAGATCAGCAATTACTCATTTCACTTACAAAACAGAACACATCTGATGTGCAACCAAATGTGTGTGGATCCTACCAATCCATTTAAAAATACCCTTTTTTTCTTCAGCTAGAAATACATCTTGAAACTCGCTTAACCTCTAAACACTATTTGTCATTTACACCAGTGTTCAAACTCCTCAACAATCAATGAAAGTATCAAAAGTTCAGAAGAATCGTATACTTTTGAGACTATTCATGAAGGCTAATAATGGGACAGAAATTACTAAATTACTTTGCAATTTGTGATCCTGTTCTTATTCATCCTTCATTGAGGTCTAGCAGAAGAAAATGCTTTAAGGACTACTTTTGATGGGATGTATAAAGAAAATTGCTCACAGAGTTAAATAACACGTGTTTATGTAGGAGTCTCTGTATAACATAATTACAGTAGCAGATAAACAGATCAATGGTTACTTTCTCACAGCCATTCCTAATTTGAAGATAAAATTACTGCTGACAACCCATATGACTCTCTTCAGATTTTTTTTAATTTAAGGCAAGATGAGTAACAGCTCCATAAGAGGAACCAGCACAAAGGCAAGACAAAAAAAGTAACAGAGGACAAACACCTGACACTTCAAATTTGAGGCAAAACTATGGCAGGATGAACTAAAACCTTAAACTCCAAATATTTTGCTTCTGACTTCATCTTTGCATCTTTTGTTGGCCATGGAAGGAAACACGACCTTCCACCACTACCAGGTACCTATTCCTAATCCCTTTGCATGAAGTACTTCACGCCAGTGCACCTACATGGGGTAATTTCAAAACACACACAGTTCGTCACGCATTAAGTAGTTAAGATATGGAAGTATTTGATACTGAATTGCTTGGAGCCTGAAAGTTCATATGCTCAAAGCAAAGCAGGACATTCAGTGGTGACCAGTGAATCTGAAACAACACTTTTGAGAGTCCTTCAGCTATGAAACAGAAAAAGAAAGTACTCAGGGAAAGCAGCAGATGTGCTTCCTTGTCCTTATATCCTTCCCTAGGCATCTGCTTTGGTCACTCTCAGTGGCATACCAGACCAGCTAAGCTTTGGGCTAACCCAGTGGGGTTGTTTTCACATTCTCAAGAGCATTCTCTTCATACTTCTCTTCCTAAATTGTTTTGCAGTATTGCTAAGTGCTGTGTTCCACTGCGGGCTTGGACCTGAAGCCAGAAAGGGTTTTGTTTGTTTGTTTGTTTTCAGTTGCAAAAATGTATCCAAGAATGTATCTCCTTATTACACATATTACTGTAAAGGAAAACAAACAAAAAACTCTCCAAGACTGAAGAAATTCAGGACAGTCCAACACAAAAAATGAAGCGATATGCATAATTCAGAGAGGGCACATGTTGATGCATCTGTACTTGGAGAATCTTTTTTGCAACCAATCCACCTTATCATAATATCACAACTGTGCCAGTGTCTCAGTAGGTGCCCATGTAAATATTTGCCGTGTGATAGCATTTAAAAGCAACTGAGATTAATGATAATGAGCACTGCAACACCCATACAGAGATCAACCCTTCCACCTTTACTCAAGATAACTTCTATAAGGTGGGAGTTGATAGGTCAGCTTGCACAGCGACTGCTTATTAAAATCTTGTTCTTCAACTGCAAGAGAGCAAAAACCACAGACAAAAAAATACAAAAACTGCACAGAACACAACAGAAGAAAAAAGGTAGTAATATGAAAATAAAGAAAAGGAAAAGATGATGAAAACTGTTTTTGAACCCAAACTCCTCCCCTCTTGAGCAGAAAATCCTCTTTAAATGCAATTTACATAATTGAGGCCACAAACCCCAGATACCTTCTGGATAATTACAAATACTTTCAAGAAAACCATCTATCTTCAAAAAGACAATAGAAGCCATTTTCATTTACACACCCTCCCCTTTGTTTTTCAGGCAGTGTTTCCCACTAATGAGTATCCAGCTGTTAATGACTTCTATACCAGAAGCAGAATTCAAAATTCAAGTAATTCTGGCAGATCGAGAACATCAACACAAGAGCTGTGAACCTGAGCAGGTTTGCAGTATTTTAAGATATTACTTTGGTTCACGGTTAATTTATAGGTAAATAAAGTGAAATAAGCCTTAGGTTTCATTCATAAAGTCTGCTGTCTGCCAGAGCTCTGGTCTAGGCTTTTAGAACATGAGATTAAATGTACCTCTTCCCACAAGAGCACAGAAATAAACAGAAATATAAAGACAGATCAATAGGTACAAAGCATCTGACTTAGTGTATCTAGGCTCCTGCAGCAGCTGAATAAATAGACAAAACTTCAGAGGCAACAGGACAAAACACACACTACAATCACCAACTGGCCAAACTCTCAGTTGGTACAAAATGCACAAAGATAATCAATTCACAATGATTTCATTCCTCTCTGGTCAGGTCTGACATCAAAAGCCCATGTAGCACAGGATACATTTATACTGATGATTGCTGACAGATTCTGCACAGATCTCAGTCCACTGCCCAAAGGGGATTACTGCTGTTTCCGTGCCAGTCACAGGACTAAGAACTGACAAATAGCAACTCTAAAACTAGGGAATGCAGGTAAAGTTTTCCTCACATGCTTCTCAGTATCACAGGAATAGTAATGGTTGGGAGTATTTAACAAGAACTTCGAAATTACGCCAAATCTTGTATTTACAACATGGTTCTCAGTGAAAGACTCTTCTGTCAGACTTAACATTTTAGTAATTACTTACTTAAGGAAACATTTTATCACTATTTCCCCACAAAGTCAGCCAATACTTGTATATTACCACCTGTAGTTTCACATGCTCTTCTTTACAAAGAAGGGCTAAGTGCAGTCATAAAACACCTACCTGCATAGGGGATACAGCCGCAGCTGGAGGAGTTTTCATGGGGCTTGGGCTCAGGGGAGTACGAGGAATTGTGGCAGCAGCAGGGCTGGGAACTAGTAGAGACACAGAAAAGAAGCCATCGTGAGCATTGCACTGTTCTGCAGTGGAACAGGAGACTGGCTGTTACAGTGACTCTTGCCTTGCACTTTACATTACTAGTTTTACCAGATCACATCTTTCAGAATTTCAACTAGCAACTGACTGCAAAATCATTTAAAAGTATGCCTACACATTTACTCCTCTGTAATTACGTTCGTTTTCTGTCTTGAATATATCATCCATGGTAAAAACATAAGTTTACTGGGGGTGGACAAGGCTAAGGTGCAGGATGCTATTACCCTGGCCGTTGTAAATGATGCCATTACTAGTCCTCTGATCTCCAGACAATAAGAGAAATAGTAGCAGGCTCCTGGCTCTGCCAAGTAAGACAAGAAAGATAACCTATATCACCTGCTTCTCCTTTCTAGTTTCCAATCAATGGCCACAGGTACTAGACATTATATCTCTGAAATTTCGGATTCAAACAAATAACATGTTTAGAAATGTATGAAAACAGACAACTACTTAATTGGTGAATCAGTCATCTGATTATCTGACAGCATGATCAGACACAAATGCTGAGGAAGGCAGCAGATATTAGCTTGAAATAAAAGATTAAAAAGAAGGGAGAGAGGATTTATCATTTTACCAAACCAACCAAGAAAGCACCTTTATCCAATAACAGAATACAAAAACCTTCTAAACTAACACTAGCAAAGTAAAAACTGTAAATACTTATGAACAAAGAGAACAAGCGTGGAAAGAGAGCCATTTACAGAATTTCCAGATACTATGGAGATGCTTCTAAATCTTAACAAATTTTCAGGTTATAAACAATTAAAAGCAGATTTGCCATGTACAATACTGTACTGCAAGTCTCTCTGGCAACACAGTCTACCTCCAGCCAAGCTTTTTTTACATCAGGGACTTACAGTGACATTATTGGAAATAAAATTCAAAACCCAAAGACCTGGTGAGATAAATATTTTAATCCACACAAGGTCTTACATGCCATCAAAGCTACAAAACAAGTGTTTCTCATTTCAGGATAATTACTTGGATTCCTTATTCTGCTCATCTATAGAGAAGGACAACAACACCTGTTTTCACAATCAGAATTATAGTAAAGTCCATTGTCTTAACAGTGAGATCCCTTTCATTTTAGAAAATATTCCCTATATCTTTTAATAGGTGATACTGGCTGCACCTTATTTTTAACTTCACATCAGCACTGACTACAAGAATATAAGTTATTAAAAGAAACAAACTCAGCCCTAGCTATTACATGGCTTTTAGAATGCTTAATTTGGCACATTAAGTCCACATTTTAATAGTAAGGCTGAAATCAGCTATGCTTCCAGCTATAATATGTGTGTAATATGTGTTTATGTATTTCTAAGAGAGCACTGAATCAAAGCATTTAACATATGAGTCACTGGCAATGCAACAGTAAAGAAAAACAAAGACAAGACAAAAAAAGGATCCTTGCGCTTAACCACAGTGAACTATCTGTTGTGCAATCTAGTTTAGGTTGGTTTGTTTCAGCCGTCACTTACAGGTCATGACAGTACAATACAGTAACTTACCTTTGATTTAGCTAAGCCATTAGATGTGTTTGCGTCAACATATGCAAAATCGTAACTTGGTACAGCTGCTACACTGGCTGAAAATAATTACCTTGGGAGGCACTGTCAAATGACTTGATGAGTGTTTTTACAGTGGGAGTTGGCTCTGAGGAGGTGGATGATCTGCGACTCAGGCCCATTCCTTGTCTTAGAGCTGCCAAATCTCTCTCTACAGCATTCATGTAGTTGTACACTCGACCACGCTCCTCTTCCTGCCTGAAATCAATAGGCAGCAAATTTAAGGCATTTAAAAAACATTTTAAGATGCGAAGTCTTAAATCAACACAAATTTGAAGTCAAATTAAAATCTACAGTTCCAAACTGATCATTACATTAACCTAGTTTTCTTTCCACTGTAATTTAGAAATAGATTATCAACCTAAATTATCACTAAGTTCTTATTATTTGTCAGCAAGACAGCTTAAGCACCAGGTGAAAAGTCTATCAAATCAGTACTTGATTTAATGCTTAATTCCTGCTCCCATCTCTCAAACGCACACACATACACATGGATGGAAAAAATTGAGCCTTAAGGATTTCACCATTTCACAGGAAAATAATCAGCTCAGAGGGGAGAATTTTTTTCCACCTGCATAAACAGAACACATTTTAAATGAATACCAAGGAGGTAATAATACATTTCTGGCATACATCTTAAGGCAGCATATGAAATACTAAAAAAAATTAGATTTTTAGTACAGAATATTTATCGTGGTTATTGTATTTTGTCACTCAAGAATTGTTTGAAGCAACCCATTTTCTACAGTCAATTAAACACTGACTCTTTTTTGCTTCAGACACTGCAATAGACTTTCCTAACACCTCCTCTCTGGTAGCTTTACCATTTCCAACGAATCTGATTCACTTACCTCTTTGTCCTTTGGCTGCAGTGAATCAAATGTCAAAAAATGCTTGGGCATAGACAATAATGAACATACTGACTGGAATGAGCAAGGCAGTTCTACCTTCAGAAGCACAACTGTAACCTCAAAGGTTCACTTGCAAGCGGTAATTGAACTATTACAATTCTGTCTAAAATGTATTAGTAAGTATTGTTCATATTAATTAGTTTGGTGATCTTACTTCAGATGAGATGCTTTATGCCCACCACTCATCCATCCAGATAATTTTCCATTTTCAGTGTAACCAGTCTGCTCTTCCTACCACCAGCCTTTCCCCAAGTTTCATAGCCTGCATTATCTCATACCCTACTGGATGCTGGGTTAAGTACAATGTATCCTATAAAATGCCCAGCCACGTGGAAAAAAATTGTTTAATATATGCACATCACAAACATCATTACTGCAACTATAAGCTATACATGTATTCAATCCCTAGAGACAATGTAGTCAGGATTCAAATGGCGCTGTCCAAGATGTTCCTATTCTATGGATTTGAGGACTTCACTACTTCTGAAAGATATAGAACTCGGTTCCTAAATAACTGTAGCACCTAATTCAAGCCACAATATCTCACAGTTCAAATTATCGTTAGTAAAAATGTTTTTGTACACACAGCATCTCTAATTATTCCCAGGAACAATTATCAGTGGAAAGAAGACAGTACAAGATATATGCAGAATTCAGCAAAGGTTTCTTCTCAGGTAAAAATCCAGCTGTAATTTTAACCATACCAAAAGCCTTGGCTGCTAATAAGTAGTATTAACAATGGTACAGAAAAGCCAACACTGCTTGTTTTTCACACTGAGGGAAGTTAAATTGTGTCCAGCTGTTAAATGGGAAAAACCCTCCACTTCAACCTGGTTTTGCAAAAGTACCAAACTGAATATTCTTGGAATGATTAAGTATACAGTATAAAGAAACAAATATTGTTCCTATAAGTTTACCTACTTTGACCTCTGAAAGCCTGCATGAAGCAGCTTGTTGAAATACAAATCCTCACAGTGGGAGGATTTACAAACTTCTGGAGTCTCAATAACAGTTAAGATACTGGAGTTCCAAAATTGTACCCCCCTACAAAAGAGGCAATATCCCTGTTGCCTTTTGCATACTTGCGTGACTTTATTTCCTCCAACTCTTTAGTGAGCTTCTCATTTTTCTCCTGAGCTTCATGTAATCTACGCTTCAGGTCTCCTACCTCTTCCTGGGCCTCAGACTTTATATCATTTGCTATAACCACTGCAGTCTGGAGATCAGCTTGGAACTGACGCCACTCTGCTGACTCCTCCTGTAAGCAAATAAAACTTTCAATTTAAAGTAGCAGCAAGAATTTTGAAATTAAAAATAGAAGTTATCCTCATTATTGATAGTTTCCCTATGCTGTAACAGGAAACAATTTACAGGAATGACAAAGGTACTCATCTCTGGCATTAGGCACAACCTAACCTACAAGTTAAATTGAAGAAGTTTTGCTGGAAATAACTAGACTCCCAAAGTCATGAATTTAGTTTCTAGAAACAAAGAAAATGTTCCAAGCGGAGAGGAAGAAAAAAAATAATATTAAACTATGCATCAGAAGACACAGGAACGTTTTCTTCCAAGCTCAACGCCATATCTTTGTGACACTGAGAATTTTTCAGAAGTTAATTCTTTAGTGTCTCTACGTTAGTAAATATATTCCCATATGATGCCTGTCTCTCAGAAATAATTATTTTAATGGTATTACATGTAATCATATTACCTTTTCACAATTTCACATGCAGGTCTTATGACATTCCAAGTTCAGATTTTATTGAGTTTTTAGGTTTTGACCTACCCGGAGTCTCCTGTGAAGATTCTTTATCTCTCTTTCCATGTCATGCTTTTGGTCCTGAAGTTTTTTAACGGTATCTGGAAAGAAAGTAAAATTCCCTGTGAGATCTTAGTCAGGGATTTATTCACTTAAAAAAAGAGTAACTGAAAAAAACCTGCAAATGCTTTTAAAAACTTACTCAGCAAATACATTTTCATAACTAAAGCCATCTGGAGAAAAATAGTATGAACAGAAATAATTTGACAGAAAGTGTCAATAGGTACATACTTCCCTATGACTGGTGAGAGGAACGGAATAAGCAAATAATTTTACACAAATGCCAGTATCTTCTCTACCGTTCACAATATTAGAATGAGAAAGCAGTAACAGAGGGCGAATAAACAAGGTAGGTAATTTAAAATGGAAGGATCCTAAAAACATGGATCTCTGGGGGTTTTCCCCTCTTCAAACATAAGGCAGCTACACTAAGCCTTTTGATTCACAATTTACTTGCTGCCACAAAGTAGATGACATAACACTCACAGCCACGCCTTCACAGGCATAAAATTCTACTCAAGTCCTCAAGAATCTTACATTCTTGTCTATCAAGCTAGTATTTGAAGTTGAAGTAAGCTACATTTATAGCAAAGGGACAAAAAGTCTATGAGATCATGTTATGAACGAGATGGTCCCCATAATCTGTCAGCAGCTATTACACAAGGGCATGCAGCTTAATCACCACCAACTCTTCACACGGCGTCTGTCAGACTGGCTACTGCAGTTATTATGCATTTGTTACTTTATTCAATGCACAAAGCCAATGTCATTGATTGCTCCATTCTTATAACTAAACAACTAATGAAGAAGAACACAGCTTAAATTTCTAATTAGTGTGTCACTTCACTGATCCTTGGATTCTAGGATGTTTTATTTCTATAGCGTCATGTAGCTATTTCCAAACTGTAAACATGATGGGCCAACTGACCGAATGCATCCTTTTGTTCAGGTTCATTACTCCAAGACCTGCTGGAAACAAATATTTTCCCTGTATATTAGCAATGCTCTTTCCACAGAAAGACTGAAGGTGCCTTATCTATTTAGGCTGTTCAAAATTCAAAACATTGGCAAAAATCTATGGAACTGCATAATAAATGTTTGAATGGTCAGGAGACAGGTATACACGTTCATACAAACAGATTGATACAGTAAAGTTTTGCGTCTCATTTTCTAACATGAAACGTGACAGTGCTTTTATTTAGTTATCAGGTCTCAGGAAAACCATTAAACCAGGGTTTAGTCAAAGTCAATTGTTCTGCCAATACCTGCCAGTATCTTCCCAAGCAGGCCTACACCTTCAGTACTCCTGGTCTTTTGTCAAAGGGCTTTTCTTAACAATAAAAATGAGGCTATGGCAGGCTAGATGGAAAATAGTAAGCATTTTAAAAATCAGATGTAGCAAATACTAAGAGCAGATTTACACTAATTTATGCTGACGTGTGTATTCAGGAGCCTCAACTATGCTCACAGGAATATTTCAATTTTTCAGCCACGGAATTCCTTTTGGTTTCTTCATCAGAAGCAATTCTTCAGTTCTGCCTCAACAGTCCTAAGTACAGAGCCTTTTAATGGCACAGACAATTTCTTTACAGGAATGATACAAACCTCAGTTGGCCTGAAAACATAACCTTTCAGTCTTGGAAAAGTTGAAACACTAAATTTAGACAGATAATTCTGTATTTATCGCCTCCTTACAAGACTGTGTATTTTAAGATATGTCCAACTGGTCTTTAAGCTTCTTTGAAGATAAGTACAACAGAGTGCTACCATGATATCTAAGCAAAGCTCTCAATTTTTAGCTTCTCTCTGTATACACAACTTGTTTGAACTAAAGTCAGCACTGACATGCCAGCTTTAGGTCAAAGTTATAAAAGTCGCTACCCCTCCCCTCCCTTTTCTCCTTTAAACACACACTAAAAAAACCCCGCTGCAAATTAGATAACTTTCAACAGTGACAGCAAGTCAACATGTCCTAAAGAGCTTCCAGTAGCATTTTGAAACAAAATATAGTGGATGACCATTTTGTCTTTTAGTTCAAAGAAAATGGCTTTTTAAAAATCAAATTTGTTCTACTACTAAAAGCAAGCTATATTTCATCTAAAAATAACCACAAACCAGAAACTATAAATGCATCTAGAGTTAAAGCTTGTGTAATGCCATTGTTTTGAGCTTTTGTGAGATATGAAATGCACCATTAAGTTTTAGTGTATTTATGCTTTGAAGTAAAACACAATAGTCTGAATATTCTGTAGTTACTATAAACAATACAGAGCGTTTTACAGCAGTTGTTAGAAACAGCCTTCCCCCCATCAAGGGGATTAAAAAAAAAAGGGGGGGGTGTAAAACTACCGTATTGCAACTGAATTTGAAACTTGGTGAGAAATTAAGTGATTTCACCTCTTACAGCCTGAATTCAATTCTTCACATTGTGTCACCAATTACAGTCTGGAAAATTCAAGTAGTCAAAATGGGTACACAGGCAGCAATTCTCTGCACAGCGGCCTTGTGATATCCTTCCCTTCTGCAGCCTCACAATCTCCACGCTGCTTCTCTAGCACACACAAACCCTCTACACCTGTATATGCTGCAATTTTCAGTATGGTAGGACAGGCACTTCTCTTCTACCCTTATCCAGTCTCTTCCTTTTAAGGAGCATAGACAAGAAAGAGGACTGAGATGAAAGGAAAAGTAATTATTGTTTAGGGTAAGTGAAGAACAAGGAGACCATTCTGATGAATGAATAGGATAATCAAAAATGGCAAAGCAGCAAGCTGCTTGTGTTTTACCGCAGGATTCAAGTCTTTCTACATTTTACAAAATCATATTGATTTAAATCACAGTTTGACAAAGCCTTGTTTTTTAAAAGGTAGAAAAATAAATCATAGGAAATGCACACTACAAATGGCAAAGAAAAACATTACAACTAGGGCTGGAGGTGGGGGGAAGAAGCTAAGATATCATCTGAATTCTGTAAGGCTGCCTGAGAAAAACTATCACTGTATTGTGTATCTGTAACTCTTACTAGTTATAACTAGCAGTTAGAATTTTTTACTGTGAAATAAAAATGTGCATCAACATTCAATTGTTTAACTTCAATAGTATCTGGGAAAAAAAAAGGGGGGTGGAAAGGAAAAAAAGACAATATTCAGATATGCATAGTAGTTTCAAAACATGGCATTACAATTCCTGATAAGCAACACTAAATCAAATAATCCTGACACAGGCAAATCCATAATGGGCATTCTTGCAGTTTTTGTACTAGTTACATTGGTTTGCCTTACACTAGGATAGCATTTAAATTTTTAGCACTGAAATTTCTATCCCAGTATAATCACATCCACAGAGTAGTGCCCACATTACAGTTAACGTAAGAATTATAGCTTCCTTATATAATGAAGATGCACTAATTACAAATATACCAAAGCTCACGAAATTTGCATATCAGTCTTGCTTTTCAGCTCACTGTCAGACAACAGGTCTATACAGCAAGAAAGCTGAATTTTTTTAAGGGTCCAACAGAAAAAAAAAAAAAAGTACTAGTAATTAGAAAACTAACATCCAACTGACTGGAAAAGGCCTAAATATAGTAACATAAAAATTCAGCTTCACAATTGCTGTTCAGATCCTTTTCAAAATGAGATATAGCAGAATTAAAAACTAACACTGTCAGCTCCATAAGAACTATTTATTCACTGGACATTATATGTATCAACCTTCTTGCTCACCTACCCTTGTCCAAAAAAATTTACTGACTTAAACAGTTATGGGCTAAGAGAACTGATAGGTTTAGCACCTATGCCTTGTGCTAAGTGAACAGAGCAAGTCTTTCCAGGCTTCAGAAGAAACATCTGACAACTAATAAAAGTAATAATAAAAGTATAAATTTTCTGCAAATCAGGAGACAATGTTCTCTGAAAAAACTTCCCCACAAACTCTTCTTAACTGCTTGGAAGAATAATAAGTTTCTTTCTTCCTCTTAGTCATCGAAGATGAGTAACGTGACAGCGTGGCTAGCTGACTACTGAAAGTTTTTCAGAGCTGGCAATGGAAACCAGTGGAGATGCCATCTAGTACAGGGCCCGTGCCCCTGCCGGCTCCCCCTCCCTCACCTCCACTCCCATACCCACAGACTGATCGCGACTGCAGCTTGTTTCATCTCAGCGCGCAAGGGAGGACATAAAACATACAGGTTATTTTAATATTTCTTAGACTTTTTAGATCCAATACAGAAGCACTACGCTTAAAACTCCTCATCCTACCAGTAACGAGTTCAGCTGCCACCGACCACAGTTCCTGCTGCATCTGCATGGAGGTCGGGAACAGCCTGTAGGTTTTTAACCGACGCAATTGACATCCTAGTGTCCACATCAGAGAGATCCCAGTTCTTGCAGGCAAAGATATTAACAACGAAAGTGTGTCAGTTCAATATTCAGACTAGTGTGAGAAATGTTTCATTATATGTTCGTTATGCTTGGGTTTGGTGCTTGGAAAGGCCACAATGAAGTGTGCCCCAAGTACCAGTACTAGAGCATCTCACATTACTACTTAGTGTTGATTAATCATTAAACTGAATGAACACTCGCTACCTCATCTATGAAGCATCTTTCTCCCAACTGTAAGTCTCTCTTTTGTGAATTCTTTAAGTGATAATTTTCCATCACTTATCACTTCTCATTTATCAGTTGTCTTGCCATCACTTTCATTCACTCTGTAACTCTGCTGTTTGACTAAATTTCTCCTTAAGGGGCGGATTAGATTTCCTCACAGTTTAAAATCTAAAAGTTCATTAAAAAATACTTTTAAGAATCTTTATTACGCTTGGTTATTTAGGCTGAAAAAACCACCACCCCTCTAACTAGTGCTTTATAATACCTAAACCTACACTAAATTCTCGACATTTAAAAGCACAAGCACTATACATTTGGCTGACAGAATGCCAGAACTGACCAAGTCTGATCAGCATACGATAACTTACTACTACTACTAAGATGTGCTTTGCTGTCACTTTTAACACAAATTATTAAAATTCTGTCTTCCACATGTTGTATGTAGCACCTCCAAGTCCTGGATTTTCTGAGATGCTGTTCTTTGCTGTCACTGCTTAGAGGCTACCACCAAGAAACTCCTGCACGAGGTTTAACTATGAACCCACAACGAACAGCGTTTTAAAGCGGTCAGAGAAAAATATTGACGTTTATACTATTTTTCGGGTGCCGTCCCTTCTTACTGCCACTAGATGCCACTCTCCTTCCTGCCTATAACATACTGATTTTCTTCCGTAAAGGATCACACCAGGCCATCAGCTATTACAGTTCAATTTTCCAAACTATTTCAAGAGCGATGAGTGACAAAGACTGTCAGAATTTTTACTGAAAATTTCTGCCTGAATTTTTACCAGTTTAAGTCAAACATCTGATAGCTGTCTTGTACCCCCAAAGCAGAAACATCTAAACATTAGAGCTGCCTTGTAACCAGGGCTTATTAGACAGATACTTAAATGTTTACTTGACTGCAGTGCTGGTTTCTGTACGAATGTATTTCAGATAACGGAAAAAACAATGCAAGTAGAAAAGTGTTCAACCTTTTTCAGACTTTGCTACAGAATTACTTCAGGAACAAAGTCAGAGCCACCGACCATGTGCCTCAGTTCCTGCTCCCAAGCAAATATATGTCTTTGGTTTTGGAACAGAGTTAAAAAAAACACTGCAGAATAAAAACCTAAAGCAATTTTGTAAACAGAAACAGTGATTGTCTTTCAAGATAAAGAAGGGTTGCTTAGGCAAACAAAGCTGACAGCCGCATGTCTGAAGATACTGAGCTCCAGTTGAATAAACAATTTGTTTTGCATAAGGCACTACCTTTTCTTGATAGCAGACCAATTTAAAAACCCTTCTATGAATATTTCCCTTGCTGTTAAAAGGGATCACGCTTTGGTTTTTTTGCTATCTTGTTTAGTCTTTGTATACCACAGAAGAATAGCAGATATTTGAATTCTGTAAGCAGCACTGTGCAAATACAGCTTGCCAGGGTACAGTTGCCCAAGTTTTTATTTAGATGGAGACTAATTGCAGAATTCCAGCCTGTGGTAGGAATGTCTGAGCAGGTCTTGGAGATCAGAGGGAACTAAGGCACAGAGAGCTAGACAAGTATACAGTAAACAGGAATTTCATTACAAGCCCAAATAATTCCTTGTACAGTGGCAAGAATTAACAGTTAAAGTTTTATTTTAACTTGCTTGAAGTTTGTTGGATTCATTTTCTTGTTCACAGATCAGTTTCATGACTTCAGCAAATCTACACAGAAAGAAATATATAACACATCCACATGGCCAAGTCAGCTCTAACATTTTAACTTTCAGGGCCTTCATTCACCCGTTCCTCCACTAAAAACACCTTTCCTCAGGTGGGAGAAATCATTAACTATACACATTCTCAGGCTACTTGATAACTCCTAAAACCAGGGCACTTGAAAGAGAGATAATTCTTAAAAAAAAGCAGCACCAAACCACTAAAATCAATCATCCAGTCTCCAAAATGCACACGGAGCACACTATTATTATGCCTGTAATTACATGTTCTTCTACCTTGAAAAACAACTTGAAAACAACATTATCAGATGTGATATTTATTCTCAATTCACAGGTTTTCATTCTCACACCAACTACTACCAGAACTGGAAAAGCAAAGCCAACTTGATTTTTTTTTTCCCCCTAGTGTATAAGGGTTCTGCAAAGCCCAGTCTGACTGGAATTCAAACATACGAGGGACATATTTTCACTATTACGGCATTCTACTTCAGCTGTTCCTAAATTATCATTTCTCTCACAAGAGAAACTCGTAATACTTACTCTCCAAATCAGATATGATCAGATTGTCATGAAGCTTCACAGCACGATGCTGCTCCACTTCATCCTCCAACTCAAAGATAGTTTCTTTCATGTCACTTCTCTCAGTCTCTTTTTCATCCAGTTCTGTCCGAAGTTTTTCTAGAGTCACATTGAGATCTTCAATTTGTTTCTTGGCTTCTTCTTGGAACACTCTGTATTCATCTTCAACCTGAAAAAAAACGTATTTTATCATAACAAAGCTGGCTGCATTTTCAAACACACTTACAGTTTCACAACTACCATACTTACAATATATTTCTGTAACCATAAAAAAGTATGGGACAAGAAGTCACGCATAAGCCTTTAAAAGTGCATTGTTTTAGTGCAACTATTTTCCTGAGCCAGAGTTAAGCTCTTTTATTCCATGCTGAATGAAGCATGAGCATTCCCCAGCTACTCTAACAGCAGTATCCTGTATTCTAGTGAAGCAACAATACCATAGTACCAAGGCTGTGATTTCATGAGCAGCTGATCCAATTTAACATCTGGCTGCCGTGATAAAAGGGGGAGGTGGTGGGGGAAACTCTTTACCCTTTCTTTCTCTTGCCAAAAAAAAAAAGCCTGCTCTCCTCTGTGCATCAATTTCAGTGCTTGGTGGATCTGTGAGATGACTCATTTCCTTGACCAAGTAGCAGGATTCACATTTGTGTGTGAGATGTGTTAGTGCGTTGAAGTAGTTCCCAGAGGAGTCTTACAAGCTATTGAACTGAATTAAAAAAAACAAACAAAAAACCCAAAACCCCCAAAAGTACCAAGGGAAGGAAGAAGTAGTAGACTTCTCCCTTTCAGGAGCAGCAAGGCTATTTTATCCTGCCTCATGAAACTGCAACGTAAGTAAGAAGCTGGGATCAGAGGCACAGTAACGTTAACCCAACAGCAAAAATAGGGCATCAGAAAAACAAGAGAAATTAGGTCATGGCTTGGGGTGCGTCAACACAGTCAAGCACCGATTTTAATAGACAAAATATCCTGCTTTAAAGCATGTGTTTCAGTATTTTTTATTTTAATGGCGCTACTGAATAACTATTAATTCCCTCCCCCTCTCCCCCCCAAATTAAGGTTGATTCTAACTGGCTGGTCATCATAACTAACATGCTGATTTGCAACTAATATATAATTCAGACACTAAATTTGGCATAAATTTACTCATCAGGAAGATACACCTTTAAATGCATACTTATAGTTCTTAAATAAATTTTATTATTCTTATATTAAATTAAGGTAAATGCTTTTACTAGACAAATCAGTTATATTTAAGTCAAAACAGCTGTTCTAGAACTAGAAATGCACATTTCAATCCAAAACCCAGTCCCCACAGCAGCTGCTCCTGGATGGATCATTAGTAAAAAACCTATGTGTATCTGCCATATTTAATAATAATTGTTTAAAAGGTTACAAAAAATTTTGTTTCATTTAAAACTAAATTATGTATTCAGTACATTAAATTTGGTCAAATCTCAGTCTATCTCAAAATTACTATTTTCTTGAGTGGAGAAAGAAGACACTTTTCTGCTTTCTTTATCATAAATTTATTCTAAGATAACTGAACCAACCTGAATAAGCTGAAACTTGAAAATATTCTCTTAACACCTGTGAAAGGTTCTACAAGTCATCAACAGCTGAGTTATCACCTCAAACTTTAACTCCCAGGACATTCTCAGTGATATCCCTCTTCCACCAGTTTGGCACTAAATTAATAAACTAAATTTAGCACAAAAATCATATAGTATCTTAAACACTGTTTAAGTCTGGCCCTTGAAATAAGTTGTGGAGTTTAAACACCAGCAATTTTAAAGTAACATGATAGGTAACCTGTGGCTGAATGTATCCATGTATTTTTTTTTTTAAAAGGCCTCCAACATTTTCATAACAAAAGTTAAGAGAAAGTAATCAATCCTAACACTACTGCAATCTAATTAACCTCATAATTGATCCTTTACTTCTAAATGAACTACAGTGACCAACAGGAAGTCATGGCATACATGGGATGTCAAAATGCAACAGTTTGTTTTAAACACTACCTTAGCAATGGCATCTTGCAATCGATTGGCATCATTGCGAGTGTGTGCCAGCTCTTCTTGCAGACTACTGGCCAATGTCTCTGCTTTTTCTTTATCCAGCCTGACACTCTCCAGCAAATCTTGTATATCTGATTTATCTCCAGAGTTGTGTATAGAATACAACTCAGCCACTTTCTGCTTTTCATGCTCTAACTGAGCTTTCAGCCTGTTCATCTCAATCTGGTCACTGGCTACTGTGGCTTTGTACTCCTCTAAGGTAGACGCTATCGCTGTTTTGCTTTTCTGCTCCGACTCAATAATCCGTTCCATGTGGTGATTTCGTTCTTTTAATGCCCCTATCATTTCTTGGGCCTCCTTGTTGTCTTGTTCTGCCATCTTCAAAGTGTTGCTCAAATGCTGCTGAACACCTAAGAGCTGCTCTCGCTCAAACCGAGCATTCTCTGCAAGGTCCATATAACGCTGCTCTAATTCCATGTAGCGACCACTTTTCATATCTTCATCAATTACATATGAAATATGGTGTTCGTCTAACAGGGACCGAAAATACTCGATCTGACGACTGAAGTGTTCTAACTTGTCACTTTGCTGGCACAAAGACTCCATAAGGATTACTTTTTCCTCTCCAAGTCTTTCGTTTTCGCTGTTTAGCTCTTGTGTTATTTGTTGCAAATCTGCAAGCTCTTGAAGTGTGGCTTGGAGCTCTTCGGCCGTACTGTGTTGATTCTCTTCCATCTGATGTATCCGTTCTGTCAGACAAGCTACGGACACCTCGCTTGCGTTGCCACTGCTTCCCTTCCTAGATCTTTCTATACTTGGTACACCTTCAGACTCTGAAGACGATGGAGCATCTAAGGCATCATCGCTTGATGTCAGTGGCTGATAAACTTCACTGCACTCACTGTCTAAATTATCCATGGAATTACTATGTTGGTTGTCCATCAAAGTGTTTTCATCCTGACTTAACAAGTCTTCCATTGATCCAGGAGCAGAACCTTCCACTGAAGACGTCAGAGTACCCCCACCATCACTGTGGTTGCCTGCTGTAATCTCTGGACTCAAAGACTGATAGCCAAAGAGTTTTTCAGAGTTGTCCAGCCTTTGTTCCAGAGAAAAGCCTAATGCATTTAGTCTGTCTTTTAACATTCGATTCTCATTCTTCAGCTGGTTGAGCTCTTCTCGGATGGCAGTGTTTTGCTCCTGTAACTGTAGCAATGTAGACTCTACATCAGTTGGCTGATGAACAACAATGGCCTCTTTTTCTTCAGATTTTTCATCACCTTCAAGCTGATCTTCGTTCAGTCCCAGCTGAGCACGCATATCCCTTAATTCATTCCTCAGATGCAAGATTTCCACATCTTTAGTTTTTGCTAATGTCAAAAGATCATTCACCTTTGCTTCCAGTGCAGCTTTGTCACTGATTTGATTGTCCGATTTGGACTTGCTCATTCGAATATCTGATTCTGGATTGGTGCGACTACGGGAGCGTTTTGCCAGTACCGTATCATTGGTCCCCTGTCCAGTCAAAGGCAGCTTTTTGCTCTGGCTTAAACGAGAACGATCGCGTATTCTTTCTCTAGAAGAGCTTGACTCTTTATTTCCAGATGAAGCGCTACGCTTAGTTGTGGAACTTGTACCTATATGTTTTTTGAAAGTTAGGAACATTAATTTAAAATACAGTATCTGTAACAGAAGACTGCATATTTTATATCAGCAATACACTGGTTGATTTTCTGAATCACAACGGTAAACACATTTCATAAAATACATTTAAACATTTGTACAACCTTAATCATGAATCAGTGCAGTTATACTTTAATTGATACATGCTTTACCAATTGCTAGGCTTCACCAGTATTTTGAAAATGAGTTAGACCTTAAAGTTTAACATTTGCAAGTTTCTTTTTTCTGTCATCAACAGCTTCTGATAATTGTACAAAAACTGGAGCAGTGCTATTCCTACAAGTTCAAAAAATTGTCTTTTCAGCAGAATTGAATGCAAGCTTTTACGTGATGAATTGCATATTATAATTCTGCAAAATGAAAGTTAAGGTTTTTGTATTTTCATCTCATTCCATAAAGATGACGATAGATTATTACTGCTTTATTTCCAGATGCTTTACAGCTTTGCAAGCATTACTGAATCCAAAACATAGCAATGGAAGGCAAAAGACATTTCCATCCATACCGATAACACACTAAATTTCACTTTTCTGAACAGTTTCTGAAAGCTCTCTTACTTTATTTCTATTAAATAATACGGAATGTCCAAAATGTTGACTGCAACAAGTTATCACATCTTAAAGATACTGTGCTTGGGGCATGGATTTTTTTTTAGACAAATCTATGATTCTCTAGATTAATTACATTATCTAGATTTATATAATTGTTGCATAATCAGTACTGAAGATATTCAAACGAACTCCCTCCAAAAAGGCAGTTACATTATTAAAAAAAAGGAAAAGAGCACAGGAGGTGTTTGATCTGATCACAGTCTTACTGACCACTTCATTAGGCAGCCTGGATCCTTAATACGTAATAGGAAAATAGAAAGCTACCCAGCCACCATTTTTAAGGATTAATACATCAATTTACCTGCAATAGTTTTGGGTTTATTTTCCAGACTGTTCATGGTCGTCCCTGAAGTTGAAGATGCTGTTGATACACAAGTGCTCTTCTTTGCCTTGACACCATTGGTTATTGTCACTCCACCGCCACCAGCCATCCCTGCTAAGAGGTCATCATTACTCTTAGTCTGAAAGAAAGGGAAGAAGCAGCTTTAAGACAGCTGGCTGAGAAGTCTGCATAGCCAACATTTCTTCTGTTAAAGATTCCATCAGTTTAAGTACATACTTGACTAGTCATGTGTCTATGCAAGAATGTTGAAAAGTATAATTGCACTGCACTGTGCAGAGCTAGTAAGCTGAAACTGAACTTCAACTCCTTACATACGGTTGACCACAGAAACCAAGTCTTCTCTCTCCCACGAAACATGATTAATGTTTCAATACTTCTCAGTTTTGACGGAAAGTATGCTTAAGCATAAAAATGAAGACAATTCTTCGATAATTAAACCACCGACTACTAGGAAACTAGTATAATGTCTTTTAATAGAATACGATCAAGCGTTTTCTGGTGGACAAGTTCACGACAAAAAGACCAAACTAAACAACAAATATCAATCCAACATTAATAAAATACCCTTTCTAGCTCAAAATACTAAGCCACAAATCACTAGAGACTAAGACAGTATTCGGGGGCTGGGTGGGAGCCACCCTCACCATATATCCTTGCCTTGTTTTCATGCTCTTTACTATGCACTCTCAGAGATGGGATATTTGTTTGACTTCTTTTTTGACCTTGTATGATCATTCCTGAAACTACCGTTAGTCACAGAAGCTGACTGGAATGTGACAAGGCAGTAAGCACACAAGTCTTAAGAACTGGATTCCCAAACAGAGAATATATCTTTCAGAATAAAGCAAACTCCAGAAATACTAAGCTCTTCAGTACTAACTGGCAGACTTCACAACTCTTTAAAATGCAATTTTTCAAATGGAGAAACAATCAAAATATGCTAAACACTCTTCCCTTTGTAATGACAAGAAAAATTAAAAGAAAACAGCTGTGTTAGCAGCATTACTTAAGTAACTGTATTATTCAGATGGATAACATTTGAAGTCTCAACCAATATCCTAGCTGGAAAGGTAGTGCTTAGGACTTAACCAGTTGCTTTACATCATGACTCTCAAATTCTGCAGGTTTATAATCTCTAGCTCCCATACATATTCATATTAAAAACTATATGCCAGGCATTACGATTCTACACATTAAGAATGAAGGTACACTTGCTTAATTAAAAAAAAAAATTGCATCTCACTATTTCATACAGTTTCTTTTTGCAACTGCGAATTTCAGAACAGTCAGGAACACTGATCACAATATTGTAGAAAGGACACGGATGGGATTTTGTGCTAATTACAAAGAGCAGCTACAAAACAGAAGGGAGCTTGGGAGGGGAACATATTTGTTCTGCGTGCAGTTGTCAGAAATACAGATAATTTACAGATAGAAACAGGTATTTGATAGGGTAAAATCCTCTAGGAGAAGAATGTTTTTATTGAATCATGTATAGCCTTCTAAAAAGGTTTAAAAAAGTCTGGAAGAAAATACATTATTCTTAGGCTCTGGTTTGATGTGCATATAAGCTGGCTTTTCTGCTAAGAAAAAGCCACTGTTGTTCTATCCCGCTCTTCTCCGTGCGCTCACACACTGTGCTGTGTAAACGGAAGCCTCTTCAAAGGGCTCCTTCCTCCCAGGAGCCAGATCTGCTCCTTGATCTGCTATGTCACAGCCATGCAAAACAGCAGGTGCCATCCAAGTACCAACGGGAAAATAAAAATGTTGGGGGGCTACAAACTCGGCAAAGCCCACACTACTTGTGCAGGGGGAGGAAGAGTCGAGCACAAACTACTACTGTACGACAATCTTCCGTTAACCTGTACCCTGATCAGATTTCATAGCTAATCAAAACTAATTTTGTGGGCACGGGAGTAGAGGGAGAGGGAAACAACCTTGTGATGCAACTGTCACTTAAACCAAAGTATTAAAAACAGTGATTTTCTGTTTTGCTGTTGCTACTGAATCTGCCAATCAGTCGGCAAACGTGATAGTTCAAACAGACTATCTGCTGTCACCAGTTTTACCTTGTCGAAAGAGTGGGGAAATTAGATTTAGCTTTTAGACACTCCAAGTACACGTTATCAAGCCAAATAGGTCAAAATGTGACTCAGCTTTAAGAAAAAAAAAGAGCTAAGTAAAATACACACTTTCTGACATTAGTCACCTCCAGGCCTTGCTGAATAAGGGAATTTAAGACAGCCATTCTTCTTCTGACTTACCCATAAACTATCTCTAGCCTAGGTTGGAAGGCACTACCTCCTCTGCAGCCAATTAGTAAACAGTTTCTCAAAAACTGTAACGCTATACTCTTGGCAAAGAAAACTATTTAGCAAAGCTTTGGGAAAATTACAAACCAGCAGCTCTCTTCATGCTCCACAATGGAACAAATCTTGACTAAAAATCAAAGTATTTTGGTAGCGTATATTTTTAATGGAAGCAGAATCAATGTCATATGTTTGTTAAAGAGCTTTTTGCTCAAGAAAGTAGTTTCTCCCATTTACTGAAAACAGTGCAATCCTGCTTAGCATCAAAAACCCTACATTAAAATACAAAAAAAATAGAAAATATCATAATTAGAAATGCTCATCCAGACCTATTTTCATTTTCTATGAAAAAAACCACTTTATAATTATACAAGTCATATTCTGTTTCCCCCACCTTTCTTTCAGTGCAATGAAACTTGAATGATCACCTCTACAATCCATTTCATCTTAGTTTCTAAACATGTGTATCCTATTTACTGCACCTCATTCAAATCCCTTTATATGCACATACAGCTAATTATTCCTGCCTGGGATTTTCTCTGATGCTTGCTGTTGCTGCATTGGAGTGCTTCAAACATGAAACTTCATAACAATCTGTAATTAAGTTATTGCGTTTTGCAAACCGGATACTGAAGCCTAGACACATGAACACTGAAAATACATTCTAATTTATAGTATTCAAATATTGGTGTCCAAGTCCTGGCTTTTCAGGGACATTGCATTTTGCAGTTCATTTGTACTATGTACAGCTGCCATCTAATTACAGTTGTGAGTGTTAGCATGATCACAAGCTCATTAGTTAAAGAAGTCAGAAAATAATAATCTTAAAAATAAGAATACACTGTTATTTGCAGATTATTTTTCGACAGATTAAAAACTAGAAGTGGCTAGCAGTTAACCTGCTACTGTAATAACATGTGTGGAGTGATGGGTTGCTGAATATTTACAACAGTCCTGGGCAAAGTGGGAGCCAAAAACCTACAAAAAATTAACAAAAAGGCATTCCGAAGCAGACTGACAACCAACTCCTGGAACAGCGTTCAGCTGTACAGAAGGGTGGGTCTCACAGTTTCTTCCTGTGCTTCCATTGTCTGCACGCTTGGAAAACTCCACAAAAAAGGACAAATCTATAGAACAATGCATAGTGAAAAAAGCCCACACAACGCTGAACGCCAGCCTATGGTTATATCATGAAGGAGATAGGAAAAAAACCAGATTAAAAAAATTATTACTGACTGAAAAAAGATTGGTATAGCACTGTGTGTTTTCCTACTCCTCAATAGTGGCCTTTCATTCAATAGCCAACTCAAAGTTTTCTGTATCTATACGCACACTTGCTTTGGAGACCAAACAGATTAGTAAGCTGTTGCTTAACAAAATTAGTAAACAACAAAATTAGTACTTAATGTCAGGTTTTGGGGCTTTTTTTTGGTCAAGGAATATTAAATTTAATTCATAATACACACATCAATTCACCAAGTCTAAGAGAAGATCCTACAACCACTACGAGGAAAACAATGTGCCAAATGCTTAATCAACAAGATAAAATATAAAACTATAGAAAAAATTATTTTTAAAATAATACAATTTGTTATTGATAGTTCTTTCAAGCCATTAATTATAAACGTGATTTGCCAGTAAGTCAAAAAATCACAAACAACTAACCTTCTTGTATAAATATGGAACACTCAAAGAAGGTTAGAGTCGTCATTATTATTAAGTCACAAATTTGGCACAACAGCAGCTTAACAAGACATCCAACTGGATGAGTAAGCCTGGCTGTAACATAAAGCTAAGTCTCTAGTAATTAAGAGAAAAATTTTAATTCCACCTCAAACATACAATTGTCATAAATTCTAATCCTACACCCAAACATAGCCAGAAGTGTTACTAATATAAGTAAAATTGTGCTAGTATACTGGGTAAAATTTCTTCAATGTTAGATCATCCCTCTTCTTTATCTCACTGAGAGGGTATGACATCAGAAACTTGATAAGTAAACTACAAAGGACTCCTGTTTCCATATTCTTTGAGAGGTTTCTAGAAATACAAAATAAGTAGCGTCAACAGCATCAAAAGATAACTTAAGAAAACTGCAAGATACACTGGGTGGCAGAGGAAAGGGGGGAGCACTGGGAGAAAATCTAGCTGAAACCTGGCTTGCAAGTTCATCAGCAAAAGTATTAATCATTCTTCCATAAAAGAAAAGCAAGAAGAAAAGAGAGCAACGACAACACCTTTTGACTTCAGTAATCCTGCATAGCTATTGCAGAGAGATATCAACCCTTCTCACTTCTTTAATTTCAGGTCTTTATTTGCCAGTTTTTTAAATGGCTTATCTGGCTTTTTGCAGGTGACAGTGGTTTCGGTCCCAGTTGCAGACATCAGTTCTTTTCCTTGGTCTGTTCACTTGCCCCAGGGCAGCGGCAGTGCCCCAGCTCTCCATATTGGGCAGCAGAAAGGCAAGAGAGGTGGGTCCAGCCATGCTTCCACGCCAGGAGAGGGAGGCAAACCAGGCAGGCTCATACCATCCATCCAACCCAGATGTGTTCACTCCCAGGTGAAAACTCCACACCAGCACACCTTGGTATGTCTTAATTTTCTTGGTTGTTGAAAACAATATGCTCCTACATCTACTGCCCTGTTTTGCTAATATAAGAGAAAACTTCTACCTTTGAACTTGTTACAGGAGCAAGAGTCAACTTGTGAAAATTCAGCTCAAGCAGTACTTCACACAAAGCGAAGGCCAACACAACTAGAAGAATGCAGCTGCACTGACCTGACACGGATCACTGATATCAAAAAGTTTCTCATGTTAGATAACCTCATTAGTTCTTTTTTCAGAATTAGTAAATAACTCCTATCAAATCCCATCAGTCACTGACACACCATTGAAGCATGACACGACACTACTAATAACATTCATCAGAATCCAACTTCCACTCTGCTCCTTTTGCAGAACAGCCAAGTTCTGCAAACTACACCGCTTTCCAGCACATCACACATTGTGGTATGAAAAATACCACACGAATGCCACACAAGGTCCAGTCACCCTGCCCAGTGCTGTGTAACTATGCAAACTCCCTTCAGTTACCCCTACAACAAACCTTTAGTCTAAGCTGCGTTAAAGACACACCTTAGAATTCTACTCTTTTTAAAGCTTTATTGTGAAAAACAAATAATCAGAGTGTACTGTTGGTTATTACCTTCAAAAGAGATGCTGCTGTCCCGGTTTTGGAGAGTTTTGTTACTGCAGACACTGAGGAGCCGTTTTCTGGTTTGGCTTTCTCAGTTGCTTGAGTTTTATTTACTCCAGGCACTTTGGGCACTGAGCCAACACTCCTGCTTGCTTTCTTCATTCTGGGCTGTCTGTTTATGATGCATTTACAAACAAATCTACAAGTAGAAAGAAAGAAATTTTAAATATAAAATACAAATGAAAAGCAATGTCTTTTTAAAAGAGGCTCTATTTAAGACCAGAAGTCCAGAACAGCAGTAAAGACCACAAACAGAACACATGTGACCGACCAATGCTATTTGCTTTTTTAAAAAAGGAATTTTTACCATGAACTAAGCAATTCCTCCAGCCCCTCTCCAAATCTTTTTTTTTTTTTTTTTCAGTTTTCTTTCCACAAATGGCACTGAACCAAGGATATTTTATAAGTGACCCATGTTGCCGAGTTCACTCGTTAGCTAGCAAAAGAAAGGCTTATTAGGGCAGCAATGTTCTTTATTTCTAACTGTGGGAAGGAAAACACCGTGGGAGTATTCAGGCAACAGCCTGACTACCAACAACACTGGATCTGAAAAAAGATTACCACCATCTTGGTAACTAAAGTACCAAGAGAGTAACAGCAGTTGCAAATAAAAAAGTGTTTCATAAAAGTTAAAAGAAGTTGAAAAATTCAGATTCCCTGAAACTATTATTAAAAATCATTTTAATAAACACCTGGGATTTTACAAAATTTAATACTAGTCATATGATCATGAGCATTATCTCCGAGATGAAACCAGAAGTAACCCACAGCGTTCCATGGTCCGCAGTCAGGAAACTTCAGCATCTTTACCTTGCCTTCAAGCTTTCTCAGAAAGCAGACAACTGTCAATACTGTCATTCCAATCACGAGCAAATAAATAAAACCCCGGAAAACAAAACTGACTTTACTCAAACTGGGAGCAGCTGCAGCAGACCCAAACAATGCAGTTATCACAAAAACTACTAATTCTTGAAGACAACTAAAGAAAGGGCAGACTAACCGATAGCCATAATTTGAAGCAAGGACTACCAGAAAGACTAGACACGTCGGGATCATCTTCTCTCTTGCAAGACTGAGACAGTTGGCAGCTGTTTCCTTCATCTCCCCTGAGTCAGAAGACACAAGATAGACGACTAAGAGGAGGAAACTTCCACTCCCCTTTCTGTCTTACAGATTCTGGGTGGAAGTAAGTGATCAGGTTTATCTGAGCCCAGTATCCTGCAGCTGATCAGAAACATGAAACACATCTAGTTGTCTCCATCTCTTAAAATGCACGCTGATGATTGCATGAGAAGTGCGACACAGAAACAAAGTGATCAGGAGTACTAATTAATTTCAGCTAACAAAATTAACACCACACATTTACACACACTCCTCCTTCCCCATCACCACCTCAGCTGCACACAAGTGTATTTCAAGTCTGACTGACAAAAGTCAGTAAAACTCCAGGAGTTTTGCCTCCTGAGACCCCTACGTGCTGTTAACAGAAGCAACAGGAAGTTTAATTTTAAGACACTGAAAATTTTATGTTTATAGCTTCCAGATTCCCTTTAGCTCTGAAAGCTGGCGTGAACAGACACAGAAAAGTTTGTTTGTTGTTGCAGTTTCATCATCAGAATGTCAAAAATGCACCGGTCCTGCCATACAGCTACTAGTAATCAGAACGCCTTTACAGAAGATTAAATAACTGAGAGATAATTTGAAATGAGACACTCCTAAGAAAACCAAAACCCAAACCAGAAAAGCCCCATGAAGGCAATATGTTTGCTATACACACACAATTTTAAGTGTTGCAACTGCCTACTAGATTCCAGAAGCAGACACAGCAGCAGACCCTACCTATTTACCAGTAGGACCGAGTTGCCACACTAACATTTCTTGCCTTTTTCATGTTTACAAGTTGAAGGCTTACTTGTGCTTTTGATCTTATTCAATTGAAAATTAAAACTGAAAAGACCAAAGAGGACAGAGTTGTTTAGTAAAACTGGCATCATTACTATTGAATGATATTTTTCTACAGACTACACAAAAAAGTTGCCCACAGCATGCTTGAGAAATATGAATTTTCAGTGTGCAGCTTGTCATGAAGCTGACTGCATTTAAAAAATTACCTCAAAGAAAAAACTACATTCTTGCAACAAATCCAGTAAGTCAGAATCATAGCTTTTTGACAGCTTATACAGCTAGAAATCCAGTGTCATAATGAAGGTTAGGGTACTGGCAATGACACGACTATCATAAATTTGGGCGGAGCTTGATGACCTTGTCTGGCAATGTAGGTAAAGCGGTAGCTCCAGCTGGCCTGCAGACACCCAGCAATGGCCATTTGCAGTACACATTTATCAAATCTACAGAGCACATTCATCAAGTCTGACATATAAACATGCCAGATACACACTGCACACACAATCCTTGCATGCACAGTAGAAGATCAATACATCTGGGATCTGCTTATTATAGCAAGTCATATAGTAACATAATCCACCGGGTGTATAATCTCAAAAAGAAATACAGGCTAATATTAGCTTTTGCAGTACAAACCATTTATGCTCTTACGAATATATCACAGAGGTCATCAGTGACAAAAGACTCTGTGAAGTTTCTCACCCATAATCGATCTTATTTAAAAAAATGCATGCTTTAGAAGTGTTCCTGAAAACATGCAACAGTATTTGCTTCAAAACAGCCACCACACAGCAAAGTGGTAAACAAGTGACACTGAACAAAGTAATTAAGTATAATGCTCACATTTCATCACATTATTACTTAAAAATATCCATAAATTTGACACTGAAAAACACTATTTGTGATTTACTGAAACTCCAAGACAGAAATTTCAAAGATGCTTGGAGGACAGGGAGGGTTAGGTACTGCTGTTCCTGTTTTTCTTCCAGAGAAACTAAGCCCTAGTAGTTACTTTCTTACTGAAAGAAGATAGTGTAATTATAGTTTAAAACTAAGAACAAGATACAAATGAGTCCAACTTAACTTAAAATAAGGACAAGACATTAATTAGCACTACAGGTTCTAAAAGCAGCTGCTCATTCAGGCTCTTAAAGCGAATTTATGACCTCTCAGTGCCAGTTTCTCCCCTCCTGCCTTCTCCAGGAAGGAAAAAGAGGATGGGGTTTCAGCACCGAAAACAGAAAACATCAATATGGTTGAATTGTAAGTGGAAAAAGCCCTACTTCACCCAGTTTCTCAAAAGGCAGATATCACAGATAAACACTACCTTTATGCTTCCAAAGACAAACAACATGTTCCTTAGGAAGACACAGTATTAAGAACCAACAATAAATTTGTCTCTGCCAAACACTAAATTTTAAAATAAGAAATAAAATGTTCACTAGTCAAATTAAGCTTTCTGAAGATTAACGCACAACACTAATAAATCAAAGGAGAGCTAAACCATTAGTTCACTATTGTTTTAAAAAGCAAATACTGCACATAAAACCGTAGTTTATATTTTGCCCTAGGGAGAATGAAAAAATTACTGAAGACTTCCTTCCCTTTACACACAGTTCCTCCCACCTCAAAAAAAGAAGAGGAAAAAAAAAATGATAAAAAAAGAATGAAGTAGAAGCTTACCACTGAAAAGTTGCAGTGGAATTAAGAGTTGTTAACTCCATGAGACAGTCAAGAGAAACTTTTGAAGGTCCCTCATTTCACACTATTAAACGAAATACTCATCTATCAACAGACACAAGACATTACTGGAAAACATTTGATTAATGCTAGCACTACAGTACCAATTATAAAATTAATCAGGATGGAAAAAAGCCAAAACAAGCCCAAAATATCAGATAGAAAGACTGCATTCCTAAACTAAAATGTAACTATTCGCTCTAACCTGTATCCCTTCCCAGACGTCTCTCTTTCCACAGCACACATAGTACAGGAAACAAAAGGGAATCTTGTTCAGGAGCTCTGGTGGAGGCATGTGAAACCAGTCCTGTATTTTATACCAACTGCACATACAACTCCATAAATAATAATTTAAAAGTGTTTTGCCCAATAGCATGGCTCTGCTCTTTACTGTAAACTGATATGATACATCCACCCAGCCAACATGAAATGCTTTCAGGGTTACTCTTACACACTCTGTAGAAACCTGAAAACTGAAAAGGGAGGGGTATGGTTTCTTACTCCGATTATTTAAATCTCACCCACTATTTAATATGACTATTTATGCTAATATCGCAGTCACAAAAGTAAGGCTCAATTACATGAGTATAAAAAACACTTTCCTGTGCCTGTAAGGTGAGAGAGGGTTAAGCAGCAAAGAAGGTATTAGCCTTTTGCCTTTGGTTGAAAATACAAAGTATCAAAAGGTATTAAGCAGTTTTATCTATTAAAAATTTGTGATTTAATAAGAAAATGATAAATAACCTCAGAATTACCTTTTAAGAGTTCCAGAAAAAAAGAAACAACTGATGCCTCAAATCTGAGGATACTAAGCATTTTTGAAACATCAAATACCCAGAATACAAAGGAAAATAGAAATATTCACATCTAAGAGCAAAGGAGTCCGTACACTTTCACTCTCTATTTGTACAAGCTTTTTGGTTTTGATGTATTTAGGTTGACAACTGTTGCCCAAATAATTAGGGAATGACATTTTTAGGTCACTTACAGTCCCAAAAGGCAGAACTGTGAAGAAAAGATTATGAAATACAGCCTCTCCAACCCCCCTGTAAAATACGGATTCAGAACTTCCCAAGTCTCTGCAGGCAAGACAGCATAGGCACCAACAACTTAACATCTGGGATATGAAATAAGCTACACACTAAGAGGCAGAGTTCTCCACATTTATAATGTCCACAGCTCAAACCTTCAGCCTGCAAGCTGCACGAGCACTCCAAAACAATGTCTCTTGCTCAATAATTCCAAAACCATAATCCATTAACCACTGGGTTCCAGAAGTCGAGAGCAAGCAGTGCATTTGTTTTCTTGCTTATGATCAAGAGATCAGTTTTAGCAACTTGAAAGTTTGCTGATGCTAGAGGGTTATTTAGGATACCAAACAGGAAACTGCATGGAATCACAGAAGACCCTTATGAGACCAACTGGACAATAAAAACAGCAAATAAAATTAGATGCAGGTAAACACAAAGCAATCTATCTCTTGGGTA